GGCGGCCGCCGGAATTGAGACACCGGGGCGCCGGCGGGACTGGGAGCGGCAGGGGTCAGCGCGGGAATCCCGGGGAGCCGGGCCAGAGCGTGGGGCGGCAGGGGGCCAGGGTGGCTAGGTCTGCAGTCTTTGGAGTTGGGGCTCCCCTCCCCGCCCCGTCTTTCCCCGCCGGCCTCCCCAAGTGGGGTCGAAGCCCCGGCGGGCGTCCCCGGCGATGAGCCCGGACTCGAGGTGGCCGGTGAGTGCGGGCCTGGGACCAGGGCGGGAGTGGCCAGAGGGGAAGGGGTAGGCTACTTTCGTGGGGCGCGCACTGAGCTGCCCGGCCCGAGTGTCCCTCGGGCGACTCTGGCCCAGAGAACTGACAGTGCATTGGTTCCCAGCCGGCATCCCGGGGCTACAGTGTATCCTTCGGGGCTGCCTGGGCCAATGGCAGGAGGGGAGCCTGGTTTAACTTGTTACACTTCGACAAAGGGGAAACGTAGCCGCATCCGGGAGAGGGCTGCGGGCACCTCCTGGGCCTGGCCTGATCCCTCTGGCCTCCGCCCCCTACTTCCTCCAGCCCTCTGAGCTCCTGGGCCAGATGCCACCGCCATACTCTAGGGCCTGGGGCCCTCCCCACGGGCTTTCAGATCTGAATTCCCATGTTTCTCCTCTGTGCTTCTGCTGCTGAGTCCCAGCGGGACATTTGCCGGGGGCTCTGTGCTGCCTAGGGAGCCAGGGTAGCAGAGCTGCTGCGTTCACCAGGGACCCATCGTTGAAAGAGGAAAGCTTGTTTGTGCCTTTGATTGGTTTGTGTTTAAAGACACAGCTGCAGGTAGAATGTAGGAGCAAGTTGGAGTCAAAGGAGTAGTTTTAGTGCTAGGGCAATCAGGGGCTTTACCAGAGAGGCTGGAACAGCTCACTAGATTGGTTAAGTCGCAGGAGAGGGGCCAAGAAGGGTCACTGTTATTCAGGGAGCTCAGGGTGGCTTTGCCTGGAATGGTGCCAAGCTCATAGTTAAATTGTTGAACTCAACTAGGCCTGGAGAAATTGGGGCAGTCTCTGACCAAGCTGGACTTCCTGGGGGCTGGTGCCATCTGCTGACTCCACTCATCCAGGAAAGGAGGAGAGGAGGAAGGGAGGGCCTTGGGGACCAGCATGGAGCTGAGTGTGCCCAGATTGTCATGTTCCTGTTCGTACCCTTGGGCCTGGTACCACTCCCAGGGCCAGGGCATAGGCTTACCCTCAAGACCTCAGAAATGAACTAATTTTTCCTATAACCCAGTGATTTCTGCTGGAGCCCAGGACCACATCATTGGCTACCCATTCAAGCTTCTATATGGGCTGACACTAGCCTTCAGCCATCACTCTCAGCTCCAGATCTGGTGATCTTCCCATTTAGCTACTCATTCAACAGGTTATTTATTCATTTGCCAGAACTACACTACATGCCAGGCACTGGAAATACAGGCATGGGTAGGCTTCGGTGTCTGCACTGCACAGCCTCCAGTCTTAACAGGAAGAGACAGAGAACTTCCATTGTGGTGAGTGCCATGGTGGAGGTGAGAATGAAACCATGTGGAAACACAGCTCCCCATGGGAGAGACAAAGAAGTAATAACAGAAGAAGTGACATTTGAGCTAGGTTTTGAAGAATGAGTAGGAGGTCACCAATCAGAGAAGATAGAAGGCATTCTAAATAGAGAGCATCTTGCAGGAATAAGAAGTTATAACATTCAGGGAATGGCAGTTTGCCCTGGGTGGACAGAAGTACAGCTGTAACTGGTGAAAAGAAGAATCTAGAAAGGAGAACTAGGGCCAGACAGTGAAAAGAACACCCCGAATATCACCGTAAGGAGCTTGGATATTATCTTGAAGTAAGTGGGGAGCATCAGGAGACTTTTAATCAAGAGGCTCACATGATCATTGCTACTTGGTAAAAAGATCATTCTGGACACATTATGTGAGATGAGGCTAGAACTGAGACATAGGGC